TGAAAAGGCTTCACCTCACAAACTATGGGCATGTCACTAGGTGGGCCTATTCCTTGGAAAGGGGTATGATGCTTAGAGAGGGAGAGGGTCAGCGAAGGACAGGAAGACCCTCAACCATGTGGACTGACACGGTGACTGCCACCATGGGCTCTTTTGTGTGAGGATGGAGCAAGACAGGACAGGGTTCAGATCTGTTGTTCACAGGGTTGCTACGGGTTGTACTCAACTCGATGGCACCTAACAACAACAACAACATGAGTCAGAACAGACTGGGCTGGGCATCATCTAATAACAAAAGATTTTCTAACTTTGTGCAATTGAAAGGCGTCATTTATCTACACCGGGAACACTGCAGGAGGTCTCGTTTGGGAAGGTGGGCAGAAGTGTGGTGTGAATATCATGAATTCAGTCTCAGACATGTTGAGTCTAAGATGCTTTTCAGAGATTCAAGTAGAAATCTATTGATTAGGCGACAGGATGTACGGGTATGAAGTTAAAGAAGGGTTTAGAGTAAGAAAATGTCTTAAGATCGGATTTTCAGGACTCTAGGACTAACTGGAGAGGTGATAGGGTTTTCCTTCATTTAGTACCTGGTACATTTGTTCTCAATCTATAGGAGTCGCTGAGTGGAGCAAGCAGCTAAACACTTGACTCCTAGCTGAAAGATTGAAGGTTTGAGCCCACTCAGAGACACTTCTGAATACAGACCTGGTCATGTTTCTGAAAGGTCCATCTTGTCATAGTTGTAAGATGCCGTTGAGTCAAGCACGACTCATAGCGATCCTATGAATAAAAAATCTGAACCCTGTTCTATCCTGCACCATCTTCACACTTTCTGCCCATTGCAGCAGTCACCGTGTCAATCCACTTGGTTGAGGGTCTTCCTCTCTTTCGCTGACCCTCTCCCTTTCTGAGCATCATGTCCTTTTCCAAGGCATAGCCCCTCCTAGCAACATGCCCAGAGTATGTGAGGCGAAGCCTCATCATCTTTGCCTCCAAAGTGAGCACGTATACAACAGAATGAAGTTTCATCATTCCCGCCTCCTTTAAAGAACAGTCCAGCTGCACCCTCTCTAAGACATATCTATTCATTCTCTTGGCCGTCCATGGAATCTTCAGTGCTCTTCTCCAACACCAGAGCTCAAAGGTGCCAATTCTTTTTCTGTCATCCTCATTCACTGTCCAGCTCTCAGGTGTAGAGCAAACAATCAGAAAGACCATGGCCTGAGTCAGATGCACGTTAGTCCTTAAACTGACATCACTACTCCTCAATAATCTGGAGAGGTCCCTAACTGCAGATTTTCCCAGTGTAATGTGCCTCCTTATTTCCTGAGTGCTGGTACCAAGGGTGTTAACTGTGGATCTAAGGAAGATGAAGCTGTTGACAGTTTCAATCTCCTTTCCATCCATCATGACACTGCCCATTGGTCCGGTAGTAAGAATCTCTGTTTTCTTGATATTGAAATGCAATCCATACTGAAGGTTGCATTCCTTGATCTTCTGCAAGGCCCATCTGCTTCTTGAAAACATAATGGATCAGCTCTAATCTGCATACGGGGAGCTGCCAAGAGTTAGGATTGACTATGTGGTAACTAACAACCACCACAACACAGGCTGTCTCTTAGAGCTCACAGAATCTTGTTCTCTATTTAAACTTGAAAAATGTGCCTGTGTTGTCCCAAGTTTGAACTCCGAATATGTTTTTCAAAGATAGACGATATTTTGCTTTTACTGAACAAGGACTGCATTTCATCTCTGCCAGGTGTTAAATACGTGGAAGAGAGAATAGGCAGGAGAGAGGTTAACGTTAACAGAAAAGAAATTCCATCCAAGTTTCAAGAATTCCCTTACATATGAAGCCTGGAAATACAAGTTCCTTCTGAATTTCTATATAAATCTCTTCTGAGTTTCAAGAACTCCCTTACATACAATGTTTGAGAATACAAGTTGCATATATTTCAGTCAAGCTTGAGAGTTTTTATGACCTTAATTGTGAAATATTATAAGGTTAAAATAAAATTTAAACAAGTTAAATATTCATATGTAAAAATAATACTAACAACTGCTCTATTCAGCACCTTAAGAAAGATAATTTGGGAGCCAATGTGTCCTGTCTTATGAATGTATTTATCATCCAGAAATTTTTTTTATTAGAAATTTATGACCTTGCCCAACATGTATTTAGAATATAGTAGGGAGCTCTTGTGGCCTAGTGGCAAGAAGCTGTGCTGCAATCCTGATAGCACGTGGTTCGAATCCACCAGGTGCTCTATGGTAGAAGGATGGACAATCTCCTCCCATGCCATGAACTGCCTCTGAAAACCCACCAGAGGCTCAGCTACGGGTCTGTTCTGACACTACAGTACACAGCAACAACAAATGCCATTAATTATTATTAGCTAAAAAAGATTTTAAAACAAATTGCCTTCTTTGTATTTCCAGAATGCAAATATTAAGTGCACAAGTGTTCAACTTGTGGAAACCTACAATGCATGCACTGGTTAACATCTTTGTATGTTGATCATCTTTGGCAATCACCAGGTATAGTCGAGCATTAATGACACTGTGCTGCTCTCTAGTGGTGAATAAGGAATTCAAGCTGTATTAGCCAACAGGACTGCATAAGCAACCCTTTTCAAACTGAATTTCTGAGAAAAGTAATGAAAGAAAACAATATCATAGGCACAAAATTTCTTAGTCTGACAACAGATCTGAACCATCGTATAACTGCTATCTTTCTATTTGTTTTTGAGGGTAGTTAAAAAGCGTGAATTGATGTTTATCATAAAAGCAAATCCTTATCACTTGCTGTGCACCTTGATGTAACTATTACAGTACATGAAGTGCATTACAAGAAACGCTTTAGTTAATTCTTAGAATTTGTCAGCCTATGCACATATGCAAATTCCAGTTTGTAAAGTAAAATAAAATGAAACCTCTCAACTCTTAGAAGAATGAGTTCATGAGTTTTCATTTGAAATCTGGTTGTTGTTGTTGGGTACCAGCGAGTCAGAACCGTCCTATAGCTGACCTCTCAGTGGATTTTCAAAAGCAGTAAACTGCATGGGAGGAGACTGTCCATCCTCACCCCTGGAGCATCTGGTGGCTTTGAACTGCATGCTTTTGGGATTGCAGTGCAGCTTCTCACCACTAGGCCACCAGAGCTCTTATCCAATAGGTTTGACCTTTTCAATGTTTATTTGGCTAATAATCTGAATAGTCAAACTTTCCATCATAACGTCTTAAACATGTTGTTGTTGTTGTTGTTGTTGTTATGTACCATCAAGTCAGCACCACTCATAGCTGGTCCTTTAGGGGTTTTCAGAGGCAGTAAATCACACAGAAGGGAACTTTTCTCCCTCAGAGCAGCCAGTGGATTCAAACCATGTGCTTTTGGGTTGGCAGTGCAATTCCTTACAACCAGGCCACCAGAGCTTCCTTAAAGGTATTAGAAAACTGTTTTCTGTGTATAATACGTAAAACTTGGAAAGCCTACTATTTGTAAGGTCTTATCTGAACAAGCCTCAAACAATTGACATCACTATTACTATATTGGAAGTTCAATTCATTTAAAACTGCTAAACAAGTGTCTCAGAATTGCCATCACAGAATCAGCTCAAAAGTTAATTTGAAGAAATAATATTTATTTAATCAAAGCGGTAATGAAAAATTTAATGATAAGAAGATATTTTATTTAAGTTCTTTCTTTCCGTGGAGCCCTGGGGGCACAGTGGTTAAGTAACTGGCTGCTAACCAAGGTATTGACAGTTCAAATCCGCCAGTTTCCTTCTCAGGGAAAACACTGCTACAGGCTGACTCGGTAAAGACTTGGAGATCCACTGAGGCAGCTCTACTCTGCTCTCCGGGGCAGTATGAGGTGGAACCGACTTCAAGGCAGTGGGCTCAGTTTTATTAGAGTTATGTTCTCTATGTGCCCAAATAGGGACTTAGGGGAGTTTTCAACCAACAACATACAAAAACAAATTAGTTAAAGAGAAATGGAGAGAGAATGTAGAGGAATGAGAATGCAGCGAGCAGTGTGCTAAGTTGCTGGAATTGTGCTTTCAATTTTGGGGCTGAGCTCCACAGCAACTACCGAAACACATGGCATATTTTAGTGGCTTAGTGGCACATTCACGCAGCCAGGGATGTGCATCCTTGGGGTTCACAGTGTAACGCTACAGACTTCGTCGGCAGAGCTCCCCAGTATATTATGCATTACATATTTCTTACATTGAAGAGGAAAGACTTCCTAATCTCTAAATAGAGAAATATTACGATCTTAATTTTAAACCTAAATTTGTCATATAGAAGTTAATAAGTGATACAATGAAAAAATTCTCATGTAGAAGTTAATAAAGGATACAGTGAAAAATTTCTCAGTTAAAAAAATGTTACTGTAATTTCAAAAATGAATGGCCTTATGTTCTTGTTTTCTTGATTTTTTATCATAAACCCCCAAAATGCACCACTGTAGAGTCAATTTTGATCCATGGCAACCCTCTTTTGGGAGAAGATGGCTCATCTTTCTCCCCTGGAGTGGCTGGTGGATTAGAACTTCCAGCCTTTTGGTTACTATGCCACTAGGCCACCAGTGCTTACAAGTAGCCTATGACAAGGGCTAAGTAAAAGCAGCTCAGTATTTCAATTGAATGTAAGCTCAGAGTAGTGGATGAATAATATGTCTCCACATGTACTTTCAATCAGATTTAGGATAAGAATTGAAATCATGTAACTCAAGAATGCATAACCTTTACTTAGATCCTAAAATCTCTGGGATTTTCATATCTGAAGGCCCTATTTGTTTGCTAGGTTAAAGTTCTTGAGGTAAAAGGTCTACCTTCTAGTCCCAATGTTTCTTTCTCAGAAGTGCACTCACAATGGACATGCAGTTACCGCTAATTATTTATGGAAGAAGTAAGGAAACAAATCATGTCACTAGGTAGTTTGTTTTGTTTTGAGGTGCACACATTTGCTTTCATTTCTATTTTCCTTTTTACCTTATAACAGTCTCCTCCAGGAATGATTTCTTGAATATATACCAGGGGCCCTTCATTTCGGTTAATTCCTCCTAAGATCTTCAAACCCAGACCTGTTTCCTTCATAACTGTTATCAGCTGAAAGGTCTGATCCCTAAGAGAAAAGAAATTAACATTTGCAAGTTAACCTAGAGATCTGTACTTACGTACCTTAAAATGCTTTTTAAATCAAATTCGTACCTTAAAATGCTTTTTAAATCAAATTCGTAGATTTTTATAATCTCAAAATACTCAGGACCTAAAAACTAGTTTAAAGACAGCAATTTAAAAGCAACTAAATGGATTTTCCCACCTGCGTTTTCCATTTTCTTGAACAACTATAACAGAAATACTTATTTTTTAGAGTCAAAGGAAAAGATTTAAAAATATATATAAATAAATTTAAAGATACAATATAGATACCTGAAGAGAAAGAGAGAGAGCGCACGAGAGAGAGAGCACATCATTCTTTTCTTTCTAATAAATCCCTGGTGGTACAAATCTTTAACTTGCTCAGCTTCCAAGTGAAAAGGGAGGGGAAACGTGGAGCTATGAATATACTCAGAGAAACCTTGGAAGAAAAATCTATTGATCTGCTTCTAGAAAATGAGCGATGGGAAACCTTATGGGTTTTCCCAATGCCTTCGGTGCAGCTTGAACTTCTTCATTACACTGGCTCTTGATCACTGTTGTACCATCGAGTCAGAACTGACCCATAGCTGACGCACTGGCAGGTTTTCAGAAGTAGTTAATCACATGAGAGGAGACTACCCATTCGTCTCCCGGAAGCAGCTGGCGGCCTTGAACTACGTGCCTTTGGGATTGCAGCGCAGCTTCTTACCACTAGGTCACAAGAGCTCATATACTTGCTGAAATATTTCCATGTCAGCCAATTCTTTTTGATACAGCGACTCTTGTGTATTCCTGCCATCTTTGAATGCTCCCTGGATCATTTACGATTTTGCCCATAGCAGCTGGGTACTGAAACTTGAGGCTTGCATTTGTTTTCAGTTCTTTCAGCTTGAGAAATGCTGGGCAAGTTCTTAGCTTTCTATGATTCTCAGTTCCAGCTCTCTACAAATTCCATCATAATACTTTACGCTGTCTTCTTGAGCTGCCCTTATCAAATCTTCTGTTCAGCTCTTTTACTTAAGTATTCCTTCCCTTTGTTTGGCTTCTTCATGCTCTAGTGCATCATTTCCAGGGTCTCCAAACTCTATTTTGATTTTTTCTTTTTCCTCCAGCTTTGTAATGACCTCTTACTCTCTTTATGGATGATATCCTTGATGTCATCCCACAACTTAAAAATGGTCTTCTGTCACTGGTGTTCAATGCTTCAAATCTACTCTTAAGAGGATTTTTTAAATTCATGTGAGATAGACTCAAGATCATATTTTGGTTCTCATGGACTTGTCTTCATTTTATACATCCTCAGTTTGAACTTGTGCAAAAGTAACTGTGCATCTGACTCAGGCCATGGCCTTTTCTATTACTTGCTATCCATCTGAGAGCTGGACACAAGGATGACAGAAGAATTGACGCCTTTGAGCTGTGGGGTTGGAGAAGAGCACTGAACATCCCATGGACAGCCAAGAGAACACACAAATATGTCTTGGAGAGGGTGCAGCTGTAGTGCTCTTTAGAAGCAAGGATGAGGAGGCTTTGCCTCACAGACTTTAGGCATGTTGCTAGTAGAAGCTATTCCTTGGAGAAGGACATGATGCTCAGAAAGATAAAGGGTCAGAGAAGGAGAAGAAGACTCTCGACCAGGTGGATTGACATGATGACTGCCACAATGGGCTCTAATGTGTCAGGAAGTGTGAGGATGGTGCAAGATAGGCCAGGGTTCAGATCTGTTGTTCACAGGGTCACTATGAGTCATACTCAACTTGACAGCACCTAACAACAATGAGTAATTGATGTTCCACAGTCAGCACCTGGTTTGGTTTTAACTGCTGATACTGGGCTTCTCCAACAATTCCTTCCACAGATATGGTCAATCTCATTCCTATGCAGTCCATCTGGTGAGGTCCATATGGAAAGTTGCTGTTCATGCTTTTTAAAAATGTATTTATGATGAAGAAATCATTGAGAGTACAAAATCCAATCATCTTCCTGTCTCGTTTCTATCAGGAAAACTATACCTTCTGACTACCATTCCTTCTTCCAGTCAGCAATTATCATTAATGTATCTTGATTGCATGGTTAATTTCAGATTGCAAAATTTGGCAAATATCTTCCATTTCCTCCTCTTTGGCTAAAGCTGTTAGTGTGTATATTTGAGTAATAGTCATATTAACAGGTCTTTCTTGCATGCATATGAATAGCATCCTACCCTTCCCTTTCACGTAGAGCTCAAAATTGTCCTTTTAGCTGTGAAGGCAACACCATTCTTCCTCTGTTTTCCATTTCTGCCATAGTAGATCTCATGACTGTATAACTCAAAATAGCCAATGCCAATGACTTCTTACTTGGATCCATGATCAACATCCTTGGTACCAGCAGTCTGCAGGCAGGGACCTCTCAAAATTACTGAGGAGCAATGATATCAGTTTGGAGAGTAAGGTGTGCCTGATTCCAGCCATGGTCTTTTTAATCACTTGCTACCTGTGAGCTGGACAATGAATAAAGATGACAGAGGAATTGATGCCTTTGAAATGTGGTGTTGGAGAAGAATACTGAGTATCTAACAAAATATGGACTACCAAAAGAACAAACAGATATGTCCTGGTCAAAGTACAGCCAGAGTGCTCCTTGGAAGCAGAGATGATAAAGCTTCATCTCATCTCCTAGCATGTTACTAGGAGAGGCTATTTCCTGGAGAGTGACATCATGCTTAGAAGGGCCCGCCTTTCTAAGGGTAGGTAAAAGAGAGGAAGACTTTGAACTGGATGTATTAACATAGTGACTGGAGCAATGGGCTCTGGTAATTCAGAAATAATGATGAAGACACAGGATGATAGGACAGGGTTTAGATCTGTGTTCACTTGATGGCACCTAACAACAAGAATAGAGGAGAAATAAGGCCTAGAGCGAAGGAAAAGAATAAGAGGAAAATTCCTCTGAATATACTGTGTAGTCTGTATTACATGTTTATCAGATGGCCACCAATTCTTCCCATCCCTGTCTGCATGTCTCTGTGGAATATCACTTGAATTATTTTTCCATCAAAGGTGAAGCCCACATCTCCAATGCCTGAACCTTACATTCTGTGCACAGCTTCAAACAATGACACATCACTAAATGGGAGGGAAATAGGCACCTGAAATCCATCTGTGTTTGTTGCTGGGTATTGCTCGATCATTATATGGAAAAGTTCGGGCCAGCTCTGGACAATGAGGAACCAGGTAGAGAGAGACTTATATCATCCCTACCTTCCTAATTGAGGTCCCAGACCAGGTGAATGAACTCATCCTACATTCTGTGGTCCAGTGCACAAGAATTTCTTACATAAAATTTTATAGGCAAAATGCTAAGAAAGAATACATGCATGTTTGAAGGCACTTCAGAGTGGTTTGCCAGTCAACAAAAACACTGTATAATTTTTAAATCAGTAAATTATGCATTAAAAAATTAAGTCAGTGGTGTCACTTTGGAGACTAATGTGCTCCTGATACAGGCCATGGTCGTTGCCATTACTTGCTATGCATCAGAGAGCTAGACAGTGACTAGGGATGACAGAAAGAGAATTGATGCCTTTGAGCTGTGGTGCTGGAGAAAAGCATTGAATATACTGTGGACTATCAGGAGAACAAACAGGTTCATCCTGGAGAGGGTTAAACCAGGATGCTCCTTGGAGACAAAGATTCTGAAGCTCCTTCTGACATACTTTGGACATGTTGCAAGGAGATTCCAGTCCGTGGGGAGGGACATCATCCTTGGGAGGATGGAGGGACAGCACAGGAGTGGAGCACCCTCTATGAGGCAGATTGTTTCAGTGACTGGAGTAATGGGGGTGGGTGTGTCAGAAACTGTGTGATTGGCACAGGACAGAGCAGGGTTTAGGGCTGTTGTACACAGGGTCGCTATGAGTCGCAGGTGACTCGACAGCACATAACAACAGCAACAACTAAAAAAGAAAAGTAACTCCTCCAAATAGTTCTAAAACGGAAGGCAGACTCTATCCTGTACACCAATTAACATTTTAAGATAGTTTTGATCGGCTTTCCCATTAAATAGCCTAGGCCACAGTACGCAGCTAGTTCATACAAAACTTTAAAACAAACTCTGATTCTATATAACTCACAACATTCTATACAATTCACCATACACGACAATTTATTTTAAAATTACTTTTCAAGTAGACTGGATGTTGGCACAGCAGATGGATTTTTACTCATGCTTTTCACCGCAGTAACCTTGGATTTAACAGCTGTGGAAAGAAGCTCTTGATGAAGAATCTGGGAACCCTTCTTTTCCTAAGATTGGAGAAGTGCAAAATAAATTGTGAGGTCTTGGAACAATCCAGTTGGATTCCAACTTTGCATAAAAGCATTGCTGCGACATATACTTGGCACATAAATAATACAAGCCTCTGCATAGATGTTAGATGTATTTTCTATATTTTGGGCTATGACATTTTCATCATTGCTAGTAACATCTGAAAAGTGTGAAGACATCTCTCTCTTTACATACACACATACACACATTTATGGGCATGCGGACACACACACTGTTGTAATGTACTGCTGAGTCAGAACCGACTCACGGCTCACCCTCCAATAGGTTTTCAGAAGCTGTAAATCACAAGGGAGGAGACTACCCACCTTTCTCCCACAGAACAGCTGGTGGATCCAAGCCACATGCCATTGGGTTGACAACACTGCTCCTTATCACAAGGCTACCAGCGCTCCCAAGACACACACACACACACACACACACACACACACATGCATAAATATGACCCCAGTATTCTCTGGAGGAGCTAAAGTGTACAGTTAAGCACAATCTCACAAGCTAGCAAGTTTGTAGTGAGAATGTCTACAAAATAATCATACAATATACTGTCGCGGAAACAAAAATTCTTACTGTCTCACCAATTATCTTGAGGGACTTCCTGCAGAGATTATATTACTCTGACTCATATCACTCCTTGAGCCTCCTTAAACTCTTTCCTATGAAAAGAAAAGAAGTGAGATTTTCATGTTTCATAAAGCTCCACTGTGGAAGATTGCCGAGAATAGCGAAGTTTCATTTAATTAAAACATATCATATTCAAGCAGGGGGTTATCATCTCTGCGGAAAAATTATGAATTAAGCACAGAAATGTAAAAAGTGAAAACGCTCTTAGGATCGTTTGGTCAAAAACCCAAACAAAGCAAACTCACTGCCATGCTGTGGAATTGTGCCTCATAGTGAACCTGTAGGAGTGAGTAGACTGCTCACTTGAAAACAGGGTTTTCAAGCCTATAATCTTTAAGGATGCAGGGATCTTTCTCACCCTTGAAATGGCTCAAGGGTTCAAACTGTAGACTGAAAGTGTTTAACAATTGTGTCACCAAGACCTCAGATTATTTAGTGCAACCTCTACGCAAAAGCACAGCCTGATAACTTATGACTAACATTGAGAAGAATGGGAAACCGAACTGGGCTCATGTGAAAGTTACACCTATTCCCCATACCTATTCAATCTGTACACTAAGCATATCACTTTAGAAGCTGGACTTCATGAAGAATGTGACACCAGGATCAGAAGAAAACTCATCAACAACTTGTGTTATGGAGATGATGCATAAACCTTGCTTGCTGAATGCAAGGACTTGAAATGTTTGCTGCAGAAGATCAAAAACTAGCCTTCAAGACAGATTACATCTCAACATCAAGAAAACAAAAGTCCTCACCAAAAGGCCAATAAGCAATTCATGATAGATAAAGACTGAAATTGTCAACGACTTCATCTTGCTTGGATCTACAATCAACATCCTTGATACCAGCAGTCAAGAAATCAAAGGACATGCTACATTGGGAAAATATGCTGTCAAGTGCCTCTCCAAGATGCTAAAGAGCAATGATGTCAGTTTAAAGACTAAGGCGCACCCTAGTCAAGCCATGGTCTTTTCAATTATTTGCTACACATCTGATAGTTGGACAAGAACTATGGAATCCAAACCAGCAAGCTGTGGCACCTGAGACACCGTGCTCTACCACTGAGCTACATCTCCAGAACCCTGGTGGTGGAGAAGAGTACTGAATTTCCTATGGATTGCCAAAAGAACAAGTAAATAAGTCTTGGAGAAAGTAAAATGAGAATGCTCCTTAGAGACAAGTATCATGAAACTTCATCTCACATCTTGATGATACACAACAATAACAACCCTTTTCCCTGCTTCCCAATTCCTGTATGAGAAAAAAAAATTATAGAATCTTCTATAAGTAAACAGAATGGAACCCAGAAAATGAAGCAAATGAGCTTTCTGGGAACCTAGCAGAGTTCACTAGTCTGGGGGCGGGGCTAATGAAAATTTATTATTCCCTTTGCAGCCAGTAAGAAAAACAATGGGAAAAGTACAGACCCACAGCATATAGAGAAATGAGGCCACCAAACAATACCCATGCCAGGAGCCAAAGTCTAAGAGCCACAAAGCAAGAAAGTTACCCACTAAGTAACCCATGGGGAAAGAAAGGGAAACTGAGGCAGAAGCTTAAAATCCTAAAGCTCTGAGTGAGCAGTGACTAAGAGTCAAGAGCTAGTGCCGCTGACCACAGAGAGTGATGAAGTCAGAGGAAAGAGCTTAGCTGTGAAAGGAAGTTTCACGAATTCATTATAGATTGCTTTAATAATGCATGCAAGGGAGATTCTCAAACCCCAGTGGAGGACATTCTTACATAACAACAATAATAGTAACCACCATTTATGGACACCACGTGTCACACATGCTAAGTATTTCAAATGTATTTATTGTATTTAATATTGCAGAAAACACACTGGACATGAATAACAAAAGCGGGGCTCAAATGGCAGGACTGCTGGTGCTGGGTATCCAGCCTTAGGAAAGATATCTCATGTCTCAGCATCTTCTTACAGTTGGGGAGGAAGGTAATACCTAGGTCAAAAGGTGGCCTCAGGGATTTAATGAGGGCTGAAGAACTAGGCAGTCTTTCAGCTGCACCAAAGTAAGAGCTCCATCTAGTGGTGACTTGTTCTAACTAAGCACCACAGTCCCAAATAAAGGAACTGGTCTAAGTCGAATAGACAGTATCAATAATAAATTTCTACAACACATTCCATCTAATGCCAAATATAACAGGACATGATAAAAAGAATCCATTTAACTAACTTAAAATTATTAACATTCATGCCTGGCTGCATACTAAACGCTGGAGAGAAGCCCCAAAGCGGAGTCAGCAGGAAGAAATAGTCAAAGCAGCAGACATCAGAGAGTAATATGTGCACAGGAGCCTAGAGGAGCCTTCTGGTCACCTAATCCAAGGAGGATTCATCATTAAACACCAACACAGGCACGCAGTTCAAATCCACCGCCTACTCGAGCAACTAACTGGCTGTGAAAACCGGCCGGAAGGTCAGCTATGGGCTGGTTGTGACTCAATGGTACACAATAACAAAAAGGCAGGTATTATCATTAATTTAATTTTACAAAAAAGAAAATTAAGTCAAGGAAAAGCTGTGTGATTTACCCATAGCCACAAAGCTAAGAAGTGGTAAGAAAGAATTTTAATTCAGTCCTGCCTGGCTCCAAACAAGTTTTTCTGTAACAGCATGCCTGGGAAATTAAGTGACATAAAAAATAAATAAGTAAAATTTAAAAAATCATTGTTTAAAAAAGTAGGATGAGTATAAAAAAAGGTAATATGATGTCTCTCTGGTATAAATATAACACTCTCAATTAAATTCTTTTTGAACAACAGCAATTTATCTTAGCCATCTAGGGGTTTTTTATTTCTTCCTTTTTATTTTAAAATAAGGCACTCATTGCCGTATGGTTAAGGTTCATAAAATGTCTTTTGCCTTCCCTCTGTCTTACCTCTTTCCCACTGCCTCTCCCTTCTTTACACAAGCTAGCAAGGCCCCCCACTGACACAGATTGTGGGAGCATTACACACACACCACAACAACATCATAATATTTGAGTGACACAAAGGCAAAACATTCTGTTCTTTAACTAAAATCATGCACATTCAAGGAAAAGATATTATTTTCCTCATTCAGTGAATCAGAAGAGGAAAAAAGTTAGGTCAGCAAAAAATGGAACACGGTGGGGAGGGAGGCACAGGGGAGAAATCTCAAGTGCATTCCGTATAACATAAAGATGAACTTCATTTTTATATATTCACCTTTTTGGTTCTCATTAAAAAGGTTTCCATTTCATTCAGTTAGAAATTTCATCACATAAAAAAAAATAAAAATCTGCCCATCAGGCATCTGGCGCTTGAGTAGGACTGCTAGTAATTTTTATTTTCAGAGTTTTGACATTCAGTGCTTTCTAAAGCTAGTTCTTTTTACTCCACCAGAAATAAGGAAACTAAGAAGGAAAATGATAAAAAAAACACCCCTTCAGACAAAAATTAAAACAACTTTATGATAGTACTATAACAGAATATAATTTCTGTAATATTTCAAATACACATGCATACACACACACCGCCCCCCTCACTCCCCATAGATACCTATAACCTCTCCACCTCCATAGCAGTTTCACAGTGTTAGGCACTGTTTTCGTTTCTTTTGAGTTACTTATAACACATGTGTGAGTAAATATTTTGTTTTCCTGACTTCCTTTTCACACGGAAGGTTGCACATGAGACACAAAGCATAACCCTGTCTAGCTCAGAAATGCGCAAGGCCCAAGGGTACTGTTCACACCGACAATTACGTGGATGAGTTCTCGGGAGGACACAGGAGATCCTGCACACTCCTTGCTGTTATACGGACTCCTCCGCCAAACAACTTGGAAGCCTACCATTTGATTTAGCTTTCTCAGTCTTCTTTTAAAAACTTAACTGCATAGTATTCCTTCTCACCGTTAAATTATAATTTATTTATTCCTTTAGATATTCATTTGAACAGTTTCCAATTTCTGTTCTTAAAAACAGTGCTATAATGAAGAGGTCATGCTAAATGTGTCATGCAAAATGTGTGCAAATATAAGCTTAATTCACAAAGATCAGAATTTATATGCATATGCTTTTGAAAAAAAATTGCCAAACTGCCCTTAATAAGGACTGTATTAATTTTGCATCATCCTCTGGTGGCCTAGTGGTAGGAAGCTGCTTGCTATCCTAAAGGCTGTTGTTATGTGCCGTCGAGTCATTTCCGACTCATAGCGACCCTATGCACAACAGCCCTAAACCCTGCTCTATCCTGTGCCAACCGCACTGCCCC